ATGTACAGTTGACTAGAAAATCTAATTATGTAGGGTTGACTAGGAGGTGTGCTTAAGCAGAGTTGACTAAAAAAAAAGTTTAATTTAATTACATAGTCCTGACTCCTAAAGTTAACTAGGTCTAACTTCGTAGAGTTTATTAGAAGATCTAACTATAGTGTGGAGGACTAAGAGGCCTTTCTGAATAGAACTAAGAGTTGGTTAGAAGGCCTAACTACACAGAATCGACTAGATTTAACTAAATAAAATTGGAGATTTAAGTTTAATTAACTAAAAAAAATGGAATTAAAATGGGTTATTCCGAACATTTATCTATATAAATCTATGGGCCATTATGTTAAATAATAGATTTATAGTGTTTATAACTATCTACAATCTTGTTTTATGTTTGTATCTATTTTTTATAGGAGGAAGAGGAATTCAGACACGTACTACAGGGGGTGACAAAGCACAGAATTGTATAATTTTGTACATAAAATGTCACCATTTAACATAATTAATATTAAAATATACAAGACGAGAAAAAGTGACCGTTTTAATCTAAAAAATATCAATTTTTTTTCTTTTTTTACAGTTTAAAAAACTTAATAAATCTTCGTAGAATTCTCAACATCACGTGTCGACTCCTTATTTTGATTAGGAAGCGATGCAATGGGCTAAATTTAACATATCTGACACGAGGCAACGTCACGTTATGAGGTATAAAAGGGGCAGCATAAAATTTTAATATATTTAGATATAGAGGGGAAAAAATAGAAACATCAATTTGATACGGGGTTTAAACTCGTTAACCTTTAATCGAGCTTTATCCAGGTATGACCTACCTGGATGTCTCTCTCTCTCTACCTCTTTCTCTATCTCTCTCCCTTTTCCATTTTGCTAATAACACCTTGCCAAGACGACATCACCTGACCAACATGCATCACCATGACAACGCGTTTTACCCCCTAAAGGCTCCAACGAATCCGTTCGCTCACCCCTACCTTACGTCTCTCCCCCGTTTTTCCCCCTATGGGAGAGAAACCCGTTTTCGCTAGAATTCATGCGATGCGTGAAGATCGTACACACTTTTGATGCTTTTACATCACAGCCGATTGCACTTATACCTGGATGACCATCAGGAGTCATTACTAAAGTTAGAAGAGTCTCTAAACTCTGTCAAGGATGCCGTATTTTTAGATGGAAGAGGGGTGTTCTTAGCTCGTGCAACCACAACCCTCTGACGCTGAAGAATTTATGAGAATGAAGGATTTATAGGTTATAATATCGATGATGGCATGGGGAGATTTCAATTTTTTTTTTGCTTGTTAAAGTATAGGTTTTTGTTTAAAAAAAAAGGATTACAGGCCTCATTACGGTAGAGATGCCCGCTCGGGAGAGATGTCACAGTACGAGTTAACGGTATTTTCACCTAAAATTAAATAAAAATGGAGCATCTCTCCATCACTTTATTCATAAACGTGAAGTCCTGATGCAAAATTATAAGGATTTTCTATTAATAACCCCTAAATTTTAGCGAAAAATACAGAATTAAAACTTTTTAGGGGAAGAAAATAAGGATTGTTATAGAAGATACATTTTAATTTGGAGGAAACTCAAAATTTTTTCTAGATTTGCATATAATCTTAATAAAAAAATAATTTTCTACTAAACATCCCACCAAAAACCATAAAATTGTATATTTACCTCCAAATATATATGTACTATAAAGTACAGTAGGCCTACATACACGAAAAATATATACTATAATTTATAGAAAAATTACGATACAATTTAACGATTTTTTTTACAGATTTTAGTAGTATTAAGACATATTTCAGTACAATTAAGGTGAATTTTCTCATAAATTTTAGTGATAGAAGTGTATATTTCTGGGGCACGGTAAACATGTAGCGCAGAATAAAAGGTAATACACCTTTCCTTTTTATATTGGGGGAAGAAGTGCTCCTGGGGATGTCAAGAAAGATGCGTTGACGTACAGTACATCCGCAGAAAGGAGGGATTCTAACACCCCTTTTCTTTTTTGGGGGAGAAGTACACCTTTATTGACACCCTCCGAAACAAAGGAATATTTCTATGTCCCATTTGAGTCTTAATGACTCAGGTTACGTGGAGCCAATGGACCTTACCATGCTCTAATAAATTTAGAAAATTTTTTTGACTTTTTACCTCAGTTTCTAAAAATTCATATATTTTAGAAGTTTGAAGGGCATTCATGCAGATCGTTAAACAAAATTTCTGGTAATGGGCACACGAACCTGTCGTTCCTCTTAAGCAAAAAGAATACTCCTTGATGATCTTGCTCTTGATCCATAAATTAAACTTTCATAAACAGGAGTCATTCATTTATACTTACATTCTCATAATTTATGACCATTCATACGAGCTACGAAAGTTATGGTAGGAGAATTCTTCAAACGTAGGACTTAATTTTATGGTTTCTTGCACGATTTCTTACGAACTACCCATTATTATGGCTTTAAAGACCAATTTAAACCCATTGGTCCATAAATTCTTGGTTCCACTAGTTAAACTACAGGACCTTTTTTGGGAGAATTTATACATTAATGGGCTCAATATAAATAATATTAGACCCATTCGTGGAATATATAACTAGATTAATGTGCCCAATATATGTATATACCTTCAATTTTAGGTACATTTCAGGGTCATAAGTGAAGAATTTTACGATCGAACGGGCGCTTAATTTGTTTATATAGGCCTATATATAAACAATGGCCCTATTTAGGTTTAGTTAACCCATTTACACATGCCAATAGAGTTGCAAGTTGGGGTAGGACATATCTAAACTCGTTAGTCATGGGCGTTCTGCGTATCTTGTCTATGATTTGCTCCTTAATGCTTTTGATCCCAAATTCTCCCCCCCATTAATAGCAAGATACATATCTAAATTATTTATCCTCCTTGTGTACTTCAGTCACGGGTAGGTAGATGTGGCACAACGAACGAACCACTTTGCTCGGTTGACAAGGAATTATGAATTGCACTTTATCATTGCTTTCCTGTCACTGTTTATCTTTCTAAGGCACTGAAATATGAAGTCACACTTCATTTCCTCAAAACACAAGTGGGAAAGGTGACAGAAAATCGTGCTCCAGGCTACTAAATAGTGGGGCATCCTACAGAAAACTTCTTTTTTTTAATAACTCTTCCGTGTGATAACTTCGCTTATTATAGTAGCAGGAGGCATACATAAGGCCTTAGCGCGTGAGGAAGTTTCGTAAACATCCCTCGTATGTTGTTTGATTGATCTATAACGGAGGCCTCCTATCTGCAAGCGTAATTTGTTAATTGGGGTTGAATACGTGGTTAAATGCTTCCTAAGTACGGTGTTATTAGGGATTGAAGATATGATGGAGGAGGTTAAAGGCCTTCTATTTACACATGCTTTGTTAATACCAGATTTAAAATATGTTTAAAAATACTACAGGGCCTCTATTTAAAGACGTTAATAGAGGGTTAAAAAGTTAATTAGATAGCACCCATTATTATTAGAGGGTTAAAATTAAGGTTAATGATCTGGAAGCCTCCTATCTACAGGCATATATTCTAAATAAAAGGTTATAAATGCGATTAAATATACAAAAGGCCTTTTATATTGTTAATGGGAGGCTTCAAATACGATAATGGATAATAGAAGCATTCTATCTACTGCTAATAAAAGGCTATAAAAATGGGGCTATTATAAATTTTTTATGACCCTTTTGAAGGTATTAAATGTTGATTAAAATCAAATTTTGTAACCAAAATTACGATAATTATAATTAATTAATTAGTTAATTTAACAATTACACTCATTTTAATTTAATAAATAAATAAAAATAAAATTCATAAACCTATGCTACTACAGTAACAAAAGAGGATTTAAGAGTAGGCTATTAGCTTTATAATGGAGCAAACACCGCAATTACTGTAATAAACAACAATTTTCTACTTAATTCTGTTGTTTATTGTTGAAACAATACGACAATTATCGATTAAATAGGGGCTAAAAAAATAAATAAATAATTTTCTAAGCAGTACTTTTACATAAACAAAAATGGAAGGAGTTAAAGTGAAGCCAACACTATAGTATTAATAAATAATAATTTTTTTACCCCTTTTTGTGTTCATTTTATTACACCAAAATATACAAGTTTAATTAATTAACTAACTTTAAACAATGAAATTTCTACCTAATTGTGACGTAAACAAATAAAATCCCTAAATCTCGCGTGCTACTAGAGTAACAAGTGGGAAGGAGTTAAAGACAAGCGGTGTTTTTTTTTAAAAGGGTGAAAATATCGGGAGTCAATCACGACGATAATAATAAAGAACAATTTTCTACTCCATTTTGTTGTTTTTTTTTTTCTGTGTTACTGTAGTAGTACATTACATCAATCAGCAAGCGATGGTTGCTTCTAGAAATAAGTTTTGACGCAACATTTACCACTGTTTTGCTGTGATTTACCCAAAAGCTGTCATCTCTAACTATATATAATTAAGTACGCCAGTCAAATCCCACATATCTGTATCCTGAGGGATAGAAGGGCCGTGATTCGCTCCAAGCTGCAGACGTAGGATGCACGGGCCAAGCACACTACTGGAAAAGCACAGCCTGCTGCAGTCCGATTGGTCAACCTCTCATCCAATAGTGCAACGCACTGGACATTGGGGGTGGAGTGAAGCGTAGACGCCCACAACGACACGGAGTCAGGCGTACTCTACATTAAAAAAAAATATCCGTTTATCTAACCTACCTTATTACCGTAAACAATTAAAAGAACACGAGACGTAGGGGTGGGTATTATTATTATTATTATTAATTATTACTTAATTAATACGCCATATTACTTTAGTAACGAATAGGTAGGTAAGTGGTGTATTGTGCACGCGCACGGGGCTTAGGAAATTAGTTGGCGACGAATTAGAAAGGTGGCGATTTTTTTATTTGGAGGGGGAATTTTTCGAACGGGTTTGAGAGTTTTTTTAGTGTTGCCACACTCGCAACACCTTCGCGAATTGACCGGGAGTAAAGAGAAAAGAGGGAGTTGGGTGTTTTTCCCATAATGCACGCGAAGCAAGGTAATGATCGTTAAGGATAATAACGTAGACGGAGTGAAACAGCCAAGGAGGACCCGCGCCTCCTAATCGTGCCATTAATACTGCGAGCGTAGAAGGAAATGGCGGCAGATGCCCGGTGTGAGCTCAACGACTACTTCGCCCCGCTAGTGTCAATCACGTGCCAGTGGGCTGACCCACGATGGACCCGCACCATCCGGCCACTCCTCTGCGGCCTTGGTGTAGAGCGCGGACTCGCCAAGCGCCGTCACACGTCGAAGCTGCTGTCCCGACTCTCAGACACGCGCACAGTCAAGAGTGGGCGACCGACCAAAGCCAGACAGGAGTGTTGTGTGTTGCCGGTCGCAGTTCATACCCGTCCGTGTTTCGGTGTGTTGCAAGTTTTGTGTGTGTGTTTTTTTATGTGTGTGGACCGGGGATTAAATAAATAATAATAATAAAAAATATATATATATACATACATGTATAAACATAAATAACATCAAAGGCGTAATAACGTTACGTGTATATGACACACCAGGAATGAGGACCTACTCCAAGTTCGAAGACAGTTTACCTGTCGTTGTGTGGTGATGGAGCGGTTGTAAACCCCGGACGGATCCTTCGACTTCGTTTGCACCTTTCGACTGGACTGTGGATATTTTTTGACTGTTTCGGTGGGTGGTGTGTGTGCGTGCCAGTGTCCCCTAACACGTTGGTGTCGGCCGCGCGCTGACAGGGGGACCCACGTCGAAGCTCGGGTTTTTAGCACCCCTTTTTTCCCCGATATCCGCGGCGCCTCTCGTGGCTCGACGTGCGAAGAGGCTACGAACTGACTCCGATGTGACATTGTCCAACGCAGGTGCTCACCCATTCTGAATACCCAGCATGCATTAGCGGTCGCCATCTTTGTTGGTCTTTGTGTCCACGCAGACGTGTGTGAGGACGGTGTCCCACAGTCGATGAGATGTCACGGCGAAAACAGGAGAAACCGCTGCCCAGGAAGAGAGTTTTGGCAGGTAAGTGCCGCTGGGCCTTCGGACACCCGGCGAGAGGGGGTAGCGCGCCCGGCGCCGCGCCGGACAGCGTCCTTCCTTCTCGCACCGCCGCTGGTCAGGGGGGTTATCCCGCGTAATGGCGGCCCTCGTGCGATTTTTCCAGCCCGACACCCGAACGGACAGTGACGCTCGGTGTCGCCTCTACTCCCGTCGGCCGGTGAACAACCTCCCTTAAGGTCCGTCGGCTGGAAAGGGCTATTTTTTGGACGGGCGCGCGGGACGTTCCGCCGGCCCTCTCTGCCTCTCCTCTACGGCAGAGTTAGCACGTGACGAGACGGACGCACTTCCTAAAACCCGTCACCTCCCTCTACGGGCCCTGCAGGGCTCTTCTTGGCTCTCCTTCTTCTTCCACTACCCACCGGGCGGTTGTTCGTACCGATGTCCCGCTTCCATGCTCGACGGCGCTCCGTCGCCGCTCTCACGTCGCCGTCGGCACACCGGCTTCCGTCTTAACCAATCCCTTCGCCTCCCTCCCAACCGCAATTAAGGGTCCTAATTAAGTGACGTCACCGGACACATCCCGAATTTTCACCTAAAACGCGAATAAAAACCCAAAATCGCCATTAGACACCTCTCTACGCTTACACTCTAATGGGTACGAGTGCCGTTGGGATGTCTGCATCCAAAACTCGTCTCCGTTCGTAAATTTTGGCCAATTACGGCTCCTTTCCTACCTCATACCGGCGTAAACAATCTCTTATACTTGTTTATAAACCTTAAGTCTCGCCATATTGTGTAATATATGAGTTATTTGTTTATGTCAACATGCAAAAATGATGTTTCCAGTCGGCAGTCTTTCAACCTAACTAAAGCATCGTTCGAACAGGAAATAAAACGTTTAAAGTTATAAATAAAAAGGGACAAAGCTCAATTATCCTTTAGAAAATGTAACAGATTTTTACAATGATTCTAAAAAGAAAAAAAATATATGAGTCAAGTTCAGTTGAGCTTCAAAAAAAATCAACCAAATCACAAATAATCTTACTTAATAAAGTATTTGTAACTATAAACAGCTTCTATTTATCATATAAACCGGTTTTTCTTATTCATAATTTTTTAATTTTATAAATTAAAACATTTTTTCTCTAAATTTTATGTTACTTAATTCATGTAAATTAGAAATAAAAACAAAAAAAAAAGTCAATGCTTATGTTTCTTTAATGTTTTAATTGTGTCTTGTTATTTAATTATAATTATCTTAACCTTTTTTTTTTCCTTAAATATTTAATTTTATATCATAATTAAGTTTAATATATATTTTAAACTTTCAGACAAAGTTTATAAGAGTTTGTTCTGGGTTATTTATAAAGTTTACTATTTATAGCAGTTCTGTAACTTGAACCAGGCTATACAGTAAAAACTCACCTGATAGACCTAATCTTTTAAATTTTTCTTACATTTTATACATTAAAATAGCTTCAAATTATGCTTAATTTTAAAGCATTTTTTATTATTTAATATATATATAATTTTCTATAAATTTAAATTCATTTTATAAGGTGTGTTTAATTGTAAATTTTATATGAATTTTCTAACATTCAGGCTCATGTATTTCAATGCATATTGTGAAAGACTCAACAGGCTACTTGATTTTTCATAAATTAATTATTAAAATTATTAATCTAAGCTTATTTCTATGCTGTTTTTTTGCTATAGGAAGTCAGGATTTAAAATTATAAATTAAGGCTGAAGGTTTGTTATAGATTTATTTCATTAAAAATTAAGGCTCGGCTTCTTTTTATCTTCTTATTTAATTAGAAATTAAGGATTAAGAATTTTTTTTTAATTTAGTTTTGAGACTTTTTTTGTATGTTTCTTTAGCAGAAATCAAGGCTCAAAGATTTTATTTGTCTTTTTAATTAGAAATTAAGGCTGTGGCTTTGTTTGTTTATTTTTTTTTTAAATTAAAAACTAAGGTTGAAGGTTCTTCATAAAATTTTATAAATCTAAAAATTAATATTGAGATAAATTTTCCTATGTTATAAAGTCAAAATAAAGGCTTAAAACTCGGAAAAAATTATTAAAATTAGAGATAATTTTTTGATATTTTATAATAATTTTTAAGGCTCAAAATTCTTTAAATTCTGTACATTAAATTATTAAGCTTCAAAGTATTAAAATTCAGTTTTTAAATTTAGAAATTTGTAAAAATTCAGGCTCAATTTATTTTTATATATGAAAAATAAAGGCTTAATCTAGTTTTATAAGCAAAAATATGTAAGGTTTTATTTATTTTTTAAAGTCTTTACAGCTAAATTTAATATAAAAAGATTGAAAAAAATAAATTAAGGCTCAAGTTTTTTTTAATATTAAGTCTTGAGGCTATTTATCCATTTATTTTTTAATATTTTTAAGATTTAATCTCATTTTTTAAGTCTAGAAAGTAATAAAAATCATTAATCTTTGTTATTATTGTTTCTAATCAAAGATTTTATAATTTTAAAATCAATTTATGATTAAAGATCTTAGATAATAATTTTTTTAGATATAAACTAGATTAATAAATGCTTTTTTTTAAGATTGAAAGTCTTGATTATCATCAATTAAAAATAAAAAAAGAATAATAATAATAAATAAAAGGGGGAAGAACAGAATATTTATGGCAGATCTTCCTGAATAGATAAGATCAAGTTTTCTTGATTTTACCCATAAATTTCTAGGTTTTATGACTGAAAATTCAGGTTAAAAGGCACAAAAAAGTATTCTAGCCTGAATTTTCAGCCAGAAAAATCAAGAATGTAACCTGAATTTTAGTTATGAAAAGAAAAGTCGAGGTAGAAGGCTAAAATTTAGCCTAAAAGTTTATAATATGCCTTTGAGCCTTAATTTTCTATGATAAAAAGCAAGAATTGTGACTTTAAGCTTGAATTTAAATTTAAAAATTGGCTAAAAAGGCGCTTAAAACGACTATTAAATAATTATCAGGCTAAAAAGAAAGAAAGGTTTGAAAGGCTATTACGTGTTTCAAAGATATACAAAATTATTACCAAATATTTTTTTGGCTCAAAGGCTAAAATATGATCTAAAGGCATAGTTTATGCTTCCTTAGCCTGATTATTCGTTAATATAATTTGTAATAAAGTAGAAAATGATAAACGAAACTTTTATCGAAGACTACATAGCCTTATCACAGGCTCATTTCTACGAAAATTAATTCAATTCCTCGAACCCAGTTAAATTAATAAAGTTTAAATTATGCTAATTTTAATTTATTTTACAAATAAGTATTTTGTAAAAAGGGAATTTTCTTTATTCTAAAATAAGATGGCCCCATTATGGATCCAGTTAACCCTTGTAAAAAAAATGTTATATTCCAGTTTTTAAGGTTAAAGGTTATTTATTGAGTGGATTTCTTTGAAGTTTGTCAATCGTAAAAAATTGTACAGGCTTTAAGGAATGAGAAATGGCCGTTTTTCGTGTGTCCCTAATGACCTTTGACCCCGTCCAAGTGTAGGATATTTGAATCTTATGTTCAATGGACGGGAACATTATAGAAGAATTGAACTAATAAATTGGATGATGTTTTTAGAATTTGATAACAGTTGTTCTGTAGATAAATATAGATAATGGTAAGAGGACAAGTTCAGTGTTTTTTATGTTTTTAGATGGGTTAAGCATGTGTGGATTTAACTGTCAATTAGTGAGTTTTTTGCCTTTTTTTCTTAAAAAAATAAAGATTTTAATCCTTTAATTTAATTTCGAATTAATTGCCGATTATCTCGTGTCCCCCCAATAAACAAATAAATAAATCTGACCCTTTATTGACCAGGTATAGGGATTTATAAGGGTACTAAAGTATGAATCAAAGGTCAGGGACTTATGTAAATCCATTGTTAAATTTAGAATCGATGTGTATGTGTTTAAAGGCCTTTAAAAAATTTTGATTTTAAGAGATTGCCGCTAGTTGATAATGAGGCGCGCGCGCGTGTGTGTTTGTGTATGTAGTCGCTTAATTTAAAATTCGATTTCCTCCGTAAGAGTCCCACATACGTGAGGTTAATCGGAAGATTGCCTCACTACCGACAAGTAATAAAAATTAAGGCCACACGACGACGTTGCTGGTAATCCCCGAACAATCACCAGCATTAATGACAGCTTCTTCCTGTTCAGTAATTCAGGCATTTGTCAACACATGTTCGATCCGCAATCATCTTCTCCAACCCTCCTTACGCACTACAATCTTCTCTCTCGTCTCTTAAGGCTTTCGAGCCTTATTTTAAGGTCGTTACAGCCTTAAACAACCCTTAAAGGCTATTAATATCTCATTGTTTGTTCTTTTAGAATCACTTCCTTTTTTGATAATTTGAAAGTGTTTTTTTTATCCCTGTAATTTAAACGTAAGCGAGCCTTAATGTAAGCCTTATTTTAAATTTTTAATATACATTAAAGGCTAAGCTGAGTGCTCGTAGTGTCATTGTTTACATTTTTTTTCAATCGCTTATTGTCGTTAATGTATTGATTTTTTTACTGGGGTGAGTAAATTGTTTTGATTCCTTGATCTAATAATTTATTTTTAGATAAAATTACTTACGTTTTCATTTCTTAACATCGTATCACTTTAAAAAAAAAATCTACCTCTTAAACTATCGTAGTTCTTGAGCCTTAATTTAAGCCTGAAAGTTTGAACCTTAACGCGTGTCACTGTGGATAAGGACCTTAATGTAAATTAGTGCGGTTAGAGCCTTAAAAAATCAAACTCAGATTTAAGCCTTAATATAAGCCTGATGAAATCTCAGCCTTATTATAATGTAGCATGATTAGAGCCTTAATATAAGAGTGTAGATGGCATTTAAGAATCTCACTGTTTGATTACTTTGTTGACCTTTTCGGTAGGGGTTAGACCATTCGATTCCCTAAATTTAACACTGTAAATGTTTAGGAACCAAGCGTAATTATTAAGGATGCTTACGAGTTGGCAGTTTTTAAAATTCGTTGTTAAATTCTACACATAAAATGAGTAA